GCGGCAGGGGGAGCGGTGCAATCGGGCCCGCGTGGCGGCGGCGGTTGGGTGACTGCATAGGCATGCACCGGCGCGCACGTCGCAGGCCGGCCAGTAATGCCCTGCTGTCAAAGCAGCATCCAAATGAGCCTGCTGGCAAGCCCCCAACCCCATCAGTGGTGGCACAACAGCGGCCGCCGCATGGGCAGGCGGAGCCGCCGGTGGCTCGCAATGCATGTGCAAACTCAGCACGTGTTGCAAATGCAAACGTCCCGTGCCATCCGTAGCTGCATCGTGGGGGCCCCGTTCCCCATCCCCCGAGATGCCTGCTATGCCGGTGTCTGAGGGTGGTCGCAGATCGTTCCAGATTATCCACTGCCCACCTGATGCGCGGTCCTCTGCTTCCAGGACTCCGGGCTCCAACCCGCAAGGCTGGGAGCTCCTGACACGCCATTGCTGCTCGCGTTCGAGACCTGCTGCTCCGCGACCGCCCTGCACAGCACCACGCCGCGCCGCTGCAATGCCCGGGGCTTGAGAGGCTTGATGCCACTGGCACGAAGGCCGACCTGCGTCGTGGCCATCTCAAGACGGGTCGCTTTCTGGAAAAGACACTGATAAGGCCGGCCTGTGCACGTGCGCACGCACGGCAGGGTGAAGAAGGATGTGTGATGTTCGGAAAAAGGGGGTGTGTAGGGGCTCAGCCACCTTCGAGCAGACCCGTCGACGTTGCCCGCTCGCCTGCCGGCGTGGGCACTTGCTCACCTCCGGTGTGCCGAGCAAATGAGGTGGTCAGCCCAGCAATGCAGGTTGGGGGCTCACGTACGAGATGAGGAAAGGGTACGGGCAGGGTTACCCCACTCGCTTCGCGCACTCTGCTGCCTGCCGCTCCTTGCTGCGCATCCCCAGCACGACGGTGACGGCCACTTACTATGACGTAATGGATTTGACGTCCTTGCATTCATAATCTGCCTAAGGCTGCAAGATGGGCCACGCATCCATTGGTGCATACGATGCCGTGCCCAGAGTCGTCCTGCCTGCAGGCGGGTCTTGGTAAGGGGCGCTGAGTAACAAGCGAGCGCCCTGGATGGCTGTGTCCGCGATGCACGTCTGCAAGCACCGGCTTGTGAAGCAGCGGCACCTTCAACAGGGTATGATGAAGCCGGATGTGCGCTTTCGACTGTAGCTGCAGGGTCGCCGTCATGGTAAAGGTCACAGGCGCTCAAACCATCAATCCGTGACACATTTGGAGTGCGCCTTGATGCCCAAGTGTCATGGTGAGCATCGCGACGCCCTCCTTCTCGCACAAAACATTGGGTGATGGCGGCGCACATCGTCCCAGCCACGGCAGGGTGCGTGTCCGGCAGCCACGACATTGAGGGCCCCAAATTTCGGCCCCGCCTGCGGATGTGTAGCCGCCTTTGTGTCTCAAGGCTTTGCTGACAGGGACATGGCAGCTCACAGCTTGAGCTCTTTATTTCGGGGCAAGACGTTGCCGTGTTCAAGCCATGTTCGATGTCATCTAGCCGGTCAAGGCAAGCACTGACCAAAACCCCAAAGCACAGGAGCTCGACCCGAAGCAGAAGGCTGTTGCATGCCATTGACTGTCCACGTGGCCTTCACTGACATCAAATTCACTCGTTGAGCTCACCTCTGAGCATGCAACCAGTGATGGGTAGGAGGTTCCCAAGAGCCTTGTTGAGGAGCTGGACGTCAACAGAGAGACCTCTTGCGGAAAACGCGCCAAGCAGTTATACCCACAAACAGTGTGGGGTGTTCCTGACCACACCCTGTTCACCGTGCACAAGTCAGTTGTGCATACCATGTATCACCGATAGCCCAAGGCAGCCGGAAGCGCCGCACAGTTTGAGACTGCCCACCGCACCACCATTGCGGAATCATCCTGGTGTCCTCGCCCCGCGGCCGCCTGCTTGCGCGAACCTTACAGCCCTTTACCATCTTCAGATGTTATGAAGTACGTTGAATTAGTTTCGCCTTCAGTGGCAGTGGATAGCTTCCAGGGCAGCGAGCCAGGCATTCCACGAACTACGATATGGCTTACCGCGCGGGAGACATAGTTGGATTAAGAGGTTGTACCTGTCCAGGAAGGACAACAAAGAACAGTGGTTTTCGCACAGCCCAGCAGTGTCCCCACACCTTGGTTGGAGACTGGCTCGTCCCTGCATAGGAGTCTGCGTAAGTAGCTAGCATCACGCCAATCTTTTTGAAGGTAAGCGACCGCACCCGGGGCCCGAGTGGAGCCGCTCGCTCAGTGGCCCTGCCTGGGAGGCCCCTGAGCTGGAGCGGCGCAGCAACTAGCAGAGGGCGGGCAACTTAGGCTTCCGGGCCCGCTTGGGATGCGTGCGTTAGGCCTGGCCGGGCCGAAGCAGGGGCCCTTGGCTGAAGGCTCTGGCTCCCCTTGCGGCCTGCTGTAAGCCCAGAGAGCCTTGTTGTGGACGTTTCGTGTGCCTGTGGCGCTCAGCGACCGCGCGGACCACCACACGAGGCACACCCTTGCTCGACCTCTTCGTGGAACACCGCTGGCCTCCCCGACTCGCAGCTAGGCAACCGCCCACGCTGTTCACCGCCAAGACCTTGACCTGAACTTCTTGACAGCGCACTGGTCGTCATCTGCGTGCGGCGCCTCCCCACGCCTCCGTGCTGGTGTTGCAAGCGGCCGCTGAAGCAGCGGCAGCGGCGTGTGCCGCAATGATTCAGACGTCCATGGCTTACGAGACTCTGCCGCAGGCTGGTGAATTCGCGGCGATGCAGCACGCGCAGGGCTACGGCCCCCAAAAGCGCGTGGTGTACTTGCAGCAGGCCCAGGTCCCCCAGCAGCAGGTGTTGGGTGCGCCTGCCGGTATGCGCCTCGTGCAGCAGCAGCAGCCGCAGCTGATTTCTGGCGGACCAGGTCAGCAACAGCAGGTCTGGCTGCAGGCCGCACCGCAGCAGCAGCTGCAGCAGCAGCAGTTGCCGCAGCAGCAGCACCAGCTGCAGCAGCAGCAGCACCAGCTGCAGCAGCAGCAGCCGCAGCATGCGCCTCAGATGGTACAGGTTGCTGGCATGCGCCCGCAGATGCAGTATGTGATGGCGCAGCCTCCACAGCAGCAGCAGGTGCCTGTGCAGCAACAGCAGCAGATCGTGTATTTGCAGCAGGCGCAACAGCAGCAGCCGGCGCCGGTGCAGCAGCAGGTGCAGTACAAGCCTGTGCAGCAGGCCGTGCAGCAGGCTGCTGCGGCGCCAGGCCAGGCGGCCCCAGGATCAACCGTCCTCGTCAACATCAACGGCACGCTGCGCCCCGCGCTCGTCGGTCAGAATGGTACGCTGCTGCTCCTCGACGGCGCCAAGCCCGGGATGGCCCCCGCGCCCCTGCAGCAGGCCCCGCAGCCCGTCGTGCAGTATGTAGCCGTGCAGCAGGCCGCGCAGCAGCAGGCGCCCGCGCAGCGCGTGCAGCTCGTGGTATCGCAAGCAGGCGGGCAGCCTGGTGGCGGCGTCGGTGGTGGCGGCGTGTATGTGCAGGCCCAGGGCGGCGGCACCCCACAATACGTAGCGGTACAGCAGAACGGCCAGGTGCAGCTGATGCGCCAGGCATCTGTTCCCAACAGCACCACGGTGCCTATGACTCCACAGATGCGCAACGGCGCGCCGGTGCAGGTGGCGCCCATCCAGTACGCCGTTCCTGTGCTGCAGCAGCAGCAGCAGCAGCAGCAACAGCTCCTGCAGCAGCAGCAGCAGCAGCTGCAGCAACAGCAGCAGCAGCAGCAGCAGCAGCAGCAGCAGCAGCAGCAGCAGCGCGTACCCGTGTTGCTCGGCACCAATGGGGCTGGGCTGCAGCAGCTGCCCCCTGTGGCACTGCAGCAGCGCCCGACTGTCCAGGTGATTCAGCCCCACCTGGTGGCCGCCAGCAAGCCTATGATGATGGCACCCCCCTCTGGCAATGCTGGCATTATGCCCCAACAGCTCCAGCAGCTGCAGCAGCAGCAGCAGCTGCAGCAACAGCTGCAGCAGCAGCACCAGCAGCTCCTGCTCCAGCAGCACAGCGCGCAGCTGGCTGGAGGCGCCGCGCCCGTCAGCGCCGCCACCGTGTCACTTGGCGGCGGGGCGCGGGGCGCTGGCTCAATGCCTGGCAGCCCCGCCATGCCCCAGGTGCAGGCGGCCACCATGGCCGGGCCGCTGCAGCCGCAGGGCGGCATGACAGGTGTATCGTCGGGCCTAGACATTGCCGCGCTGCAGGCGCAGGCCATCGCCGCGCACGCGCACGCACAGCAGGCCGCGCAGGCGCGCGCGCAGGCGCAGGCCAACGCGGCCGCCGCCGCGGCGGCGGCCGCGGGCGTGGGCATCATCGGCGACGCGCGGCGCTCGCGCTCAGGCTCGGCCGCCGCCACCCCCGCCGGCAGCCTCTCGGGGTCCCAGCCGGGCTCCCCACCCGCGCGCGCTGCGACGCCCGTCGCTGCGTCCCCCCCCGCCGCCGCGGCGCCGCTCCTGCCCGGCCTCGCCGGCCTGCTGGGCGCCGGCGGCGACCTGGGCGCGCTCGGCGGCAAGGACGCGGTGATGCGCCTCATCGCGTCCAGCGCGATCGAGGCCCGCATGAGCCCCGATCAGGCCGTGATGGCTGGCATGTGCAGCCCGGCTGACAAGGACGCCCTCGCCGCCGCGTTTGCGGCGGAGGCCGCGCGCCTCGGCGGCGCGCTCGCGCCCACCGCCGCGCCCGCGGCCGCGGCGCCCATGTCTGCCGACGCGCCCCTGGACGGCTTCGCGTTTGGCGGCAAGCCCCAGGCTGCGCCGCTGTCCCAGCTCGGCGCGCTGCGCGCGGCGCCCCCGGCGCGCGGCGGCAGCGGCAGCGGCATGCTGAACGCGTTCGGCTTCTCCCTATTCGGCACCCCCTCCGACGGCCTGGGCCTGCCGGGCCTAGCGGTCGGCCCCAAGGCCATCTCGGACGACGGCTCGCGGGGCGCCGCAGACCAGCTGGCCGCCCCAGGCGCGGGTGCGCCCAAAATGGCGCCCGCCGCGGGCGGCATTGGCGGGAATGCTTCGGAGGCCTCTCTGGCTGCCATGGTCTCAGGCCTCAACCTCAATCTGGCGGACCTGTCTGCCGGAGCCGCCGTGGCGGTTGCGCCTCAACAGGCGTCTGCTTGATCGTCGACATGACGCGCGCCCCATTCGCGGGGGCGTGCGCGCACAAGGGCCGCGCGGGAGAGTCCCGCGCCGCCTGGGGCGCGCGCGCACGCCCCCGGTTCCTTTCCGCTCCTCATCTCAGCAACGATGCACTGCCTGCTTTGCACAATGGACGGCCGGAGGTTTCCTTCTATGGCCGCGCCCGCCGGCGCATGCCGCCCCGCGCGGCGGGGCGCGCGCGCAGGGTCTCGGCGCGCGCCGGACGACGCCCTTAGTGAAACAGGTTTCGACGGGATCAACACTTGCGCCTCGGGGCTCGGTACCACACCGCCGCATTGCACTGCGCCGGCCGGCGCGACCGCGCAGCCGGAGGCCTCCTCGAGCGGAGCCGTGCGCCACTGTGCCCGGGCCCAAGCCCGCACCCGCACTGCTCCCAACTCGTCCCCTCCTCGCACCCAAACCACACCTTACACTACATCGACACGCAACACGAGTCATCACAACTTTCTCCAAGGCGCGGCAGTTATTTCGCCTCCTATGCGGGTCGTTCGCGCCTGTTTGTCTGCGACTTCTTATCCACAGCAACAATGGGGGAGACATTATCTTTCAGGCCGGCATACGCGAGGGCGCGCGCGAGCGCGCGCCCCGGGTGCCATCGCCGCACTCACTGTTCATGCGCTGGCCTTGGCAGGGGTGGGTTCCCTTGCTTTGCATGTGCACAAGGCATGTGTCATTTAGGTGGTCTGCTAGCCCTGTCCTTCTTGGGAAGGCAGAGCCGACACTTGCGATGCGCTACTGCTGTGATGACGCGCGGCGGCGGGCTGCGCCTCTTGCGCACCCCTTAAGACAGCTTGCCTCTCGCACGCAACACACACTCACACCTTCACACACATGGAAAAGCGCATCATTGCGGGGTCTTGCTCGGACAGCGGGCAGCACTTGGCTGGGACGCTCATAAGCACTTGCACCGCCGGCCGCGCAAGCGCTCCCGCCCCCCGCCGCAACAGTGGCGCCCCCAGGGGCGGCGCGCCCGCGCCTGGGTTTCCCTAATAGACGCTGATGTGTCTGCGGAACACACACCTACACGCATGTTGTGGCTTGCTCTCTGGGCGATCCGCCCAGGGTTTCTTCGTGCCTGGGGTTTGGGCCTGCAACGCCTCCCCCCAGGTAGAGGGTGAATGCCCCGCACCCCATCGTGCACGCACCCCATTTCGCGCCAACCGGGCCTGCGATTCGCCCGGCGCGCGCTCGCCGACCGCACCGCTTCGCTACCTGCCTCTCTCTCCTTGCCCTTCTTCTTGTTCCGTTGTGTCCTCCTGTGAACTTGAGCGAATGGCATGCAGCCCCGCCCAGAACCCTCGCCCAACAGTTGCATGGCGGCGCGCTGAGCACCGACGGCCGGGCTCTGGCGGCACGGCGGGCCGGCATGGGACCATTGGCGACGCCGCGGCGCGCTGCGCACTACTCTTGTTGTGCATGTATTGCTTTCCTCCGCGTGCACTGTCAGGCCGACAACCCATCCTTGCGGATGTTAATGATCTGCGCCCGGGGTGCAGCATTTGTTGGAGCCTGGCGGGATGGGGGCGTGTGCGGCGCCCCCGAGCCGCCTGGGATTCTCTAGTCAATTTGGGGCATGCAGCGCGTCGCCCGCCGAGCCTGCAAGGCCGGTGGGGCGCGGGCACATTGGGATGTCATGTCAGGGCCTCAGGGTGTCGGTGGGCAAACCGGCACGATGTGTTGAGAGGGATTTGGCAAGGTGGGGCGTGTACCGCATTTTAATGGTTGTGACGCCCCTGAGCCAGGATGGGGCTGGGACCCGTGCTTGTCAAGTGCGCGGGGTGGTGGAGGCATCGAATTCATATTTTCGGCAAAACTGTTTCAGTAACCTTCAACCTCAATTCCTATCCAACCTATAATCTCCATGATTAATTGCACGGGTACAGCAGGCAGGGGTTGACTTTGGACAGGCACAAATGCTGATGTCTACGTGCATGCTATGCGCTTCATCAGACTCACAAAGCAACAGAGCAGATGTCTGTGTCCAGCAACCTGAAGCTTGCCGATGGATTGGCTTGGGTGGGCCACATTTGAGGTTTCTGAAGGCTCAATTGCCATGACTAAAAGCCACCATGCTATGTCCAATGTTCAATGGTGACAGCAGACCGTCGGTCCTTCTGCCGCTGCTGCGGACGGCTCACCTGGTGACAACATGTGGCCGTCCATGACCCTGGTGGAGATCAGAAGGCCGTCTGTGTGATTTCTCAAAAAGGAAGACGCTTGATGCGCCTTCTACTTTATTTGCAGGTCGCACTGTTTGCGCGGTGATCTTGGCGGAATTGAGACACCCGGCTTTCCTCACAGCTGCAATACACTGGGATAGAGCCAGCATTGCTTATGACATCCAGCGAACACATCAAAGTTGAGCCCCAGCGCCGCTGCTGAAAGCGCAAAGGCGGCAGGACCCAGGAGGGCCACCTGCTGGTGTGGCGCCGCCGCACCAACCGCGAGACATGCCCGTCCTGCAGACCGTCTTTTCACCGGAGGGCGTCGACCCCCTCGCATGGGTGCGGCTTTGTACCTTGGTGTGGGTTCATTGGGATTGGGCGCCTGACAGCCTGGGACAGCCTGGGACCGGGCACCAGGCCTGGTCATCGCAATGCAGCTCGCCTGTTCATGCAGCACTGCCATGACGGAACCCTCCGACAGTCCTCTCCCCGACACTGCCCCAACACTTCCCCACAGGCTGTGGTGTGCGCAGCCACGATGGCGGCCAGCGCGGCCACGTCGCTGCTCGGCAAGCGGCGCAGCCACGTCGTGCGCGCGCGCGGCGGCGGGGCGCCCATCGCCAAGCAGCCGCGGCCGGCGGGCAGCAGGGAGTGCAAGCAGTGCCAGGGCTGCGGAAAGGTGCGCGATTCTTGTCTGCAACGCAAGAGTGGCCCACACCGTCTCATACAGTGCTCTTTGTTTGGTGGCCGCAGTGGCAAGCGGCGTCTCTTCTTGTTGGCCTGATGGCCACTACATGTTCAACACACCCTTGCGTCGTCTTGCCGTCCGCCGCCAGGTTCTATGCTACACGTGCGCCGGCGCAGGGCGCCTGAACAGCCCCGGCGTGGTGGTGCTGCCAAAGGGCGAGGGCGTTGAGTGGTGCCCTCACTGCCGGGGCACTGGACGGGAGAAGTGTCCCTGGTGTTTTGGTGAGGGATTCAAACTGGACATTGGCTTCCGAGTGTAATGGGCTGCGTAGTTTGAGTTTTGGGGGGCGGGGGGTATGGGACGCAGTGCACGATGGTGGGAGGGCGCTGGCGTTGCCAGCACGAGCACAGCGATCCTGGTCCAACGGGTTGACTTGCTGCGGCAAGCTCCTGTCACGGGTTTAAATCGCTTCGGTCCAGTCCACAACAGCTGAGCTGCTTTGATATGACTGCTGATCCAAGTGCATGAGAGTGCGGCTTGGGCGCTTGAGCCCAGTCGCGCCGCATCAATGAATCAATGAGTCGAGCAGTTCCCGGCGGTGGTCCAGTAGATGGGCACAAATGTGCCCGCGCCAGGCCACAATTTCGTTGCTTGAACAGTATGTCCGTGCCATGAATATGTGTTGATATGTACACCTGCTAAAGTCCGCGAAACGCGAAGACAACGAGGATCGCAGTTCCAGGATCCACTGATCAGAGGGCCAAGCGGCATCTTTTGCGCTAGTGTGCCACCATGAGAGCGATAGTACCCGTTGATCAGAGCACCTGGAGTGCTTGTGGCCTGCGCTCTGCCGCACCGAGCGCCCCCCCGCCCCATGCTGTACCCGGGCGCGTCAGCCCTGCTTCTCGCCGGCGTCTCTCCTGCCGCCGCGCCGCTGCACGCGCCGGCCGCAACGGCGACGGCCCCGCAGCATACGACTTGACGCTGGGCGCGGCGGCGCGCCTGCAGCGGCAACTTGAGGACGCTCCCAGCAGCAGCAGCGACGGCGGCGAAAGCAGCTACGGGTCAGGGGCGTCGCCTTGGGAAGGGTCCGACATGGTCAGCGTGCTGCCGCCGCCGGGAGCGCCGCAGAAGGTGATTGTGGTGCTACGACACGGGGCATCCACCTGGAATGAACAGGTGAGGGTGCATTGCTTCCCGCCGGCTACAACAGGGATGCATGCAAGCATCCAGCCGTGACGGCAGCGCCCATAGAACGTGGGCGCAAGCCGGCTGCAGGCGGGGCTGCAAGTGTGGCCGCGCGGGCGCGCGCCGCGCGGCGCACTGCGGGCCGAGGGCGCTCGCCGCCGCCGCGGTCGGCGCCAGGCCCGATGCTGTGGCAGCGCCCGCTGAGCGCCTGTCACTGACCCGCCCTCGCCCGGCTCGCCGCCTCTTGTCTCCCTCGGCCCCCGGCGCAACCAACGTTTCAAGGGCAGGATTCAGGTGAGGAGGGACGGCTTGCGAATGATACACACGACAGACCGCGCCTGCTGCTGCCCCTTGTCATAAGCGCCAGCTGCCGCACAGCGGCGGGGCATGGTGCAACAGCCGCCTGCAGAGGGCGGCGGCAGCGGGGCAAGGGCATGGGCGCCGGCGCTGGCAGTGCCTCGGCGTTGCTGCAGGGACTCTCTCGGGGTCTCTTCTGGCGGACCTGCCTTCCTGGCCCCCTTCTTCCTCACACGATCGCACGCGTTGGTACGGATGATACCTGCGCACGTGCGTGCAGGGCAACACCGATGAGTCAGAGCTCACCCAGGCGGGGTGGGAGCAGGCGCTGCGGGCGCGCGACGCGTTGCAGGACATCCAGTTTGACAGGTGCGCCTGCGCTGGGAAGGCGCTGGGGTGTCGAAGAAGAGCAAATGGGCTGCCAGGGTGCAGCCTGTGAGCAGAAGCCGCAGCGGCAGCAGTAGCAACAGCACCGGGCGCAGCAGTAGCATTGACCGCAGCAGCAGCAGCTGCAACAGCAGCAGCAATAGCACATGGCGCAGCAGCAGCAGCAGCAGCAGGGGCAGCAGCAAGGGCAGCAGCAGCAGCAGCAGCTAGCCGTGGGACGTGCACGTCTCGGCCTGCACCCCGGGCCATGCCTGTGCGCAAGTAGGCGGTCACAGCCTCGGCGCCCGTGACAGCTCTCGTCTTTGCGCACCCGCCCTGAGCCGCCCCACGCCCCGACCGTGGCACGCGCAGCTGCTTCTCGAGCCCGCACACGCGGGCGCGGCAGACGGCGGAGCTGGTGTGCGACAGCCCCGTCTTCATGGATAGCCTGAGGGAGTGCGACCTGGGATGGTGGGCGGCGGCCAGGGGATCCCTGTTTGGTTTCGGAGGTGGCGCACTGCATGCACATGCAAGCGCATGCGTGTGCAGGTGTATGTGCGTGCGTGTGTGCGTGTGTGTGTGTGTGTGTGCACATCAGCAATTGTGTGCGGGTACCGAGGGGGTTGGTGGGTGGGCGACACATGCGTGACGCATTACCCAAGGGGGCCCGGCAGCAGGGGCCGCAGCCTGACACAGGCAGCCTTGTCCTTGCACCGCAGTGTGGAATCGCGCTGCCTCTCCAAACCTTTACGAATGCCTGCGACACAGTACAGCCTCGTGCCGCCCCTCGGTCAGCCGGCTCGTGCGCGTGCAGCGACCCACTGCCCTGGCCCCCGCGCAGGTTCCAAGGCATGCGCAACGATGACATCATGCGGCAGCACCCAGATGTCTACAGGTGCGGCTGGGGCCCTGGAGGCACAGCGCTCCACCTTGGCCCACAGGCCCGCCGTTTGTGACGCCGGCGGGGTGTGCCTGTCACGGCGACCCGCCCCACAATTGCAGAAGACTCTGGCCTTAGCACCCCCGCCCGGGCCCCTTGCGCCCTCGTTCGCGTCTCACTGCTTGCAACGCTATTGGTTTCCGGACGATACGCCCCGCCCCTGCCCTTGCTGCACGCGCTTCCGCTTGCGCCGCGCCAGGGTGTGGCGAGAGGAGCCGGAGCACTTTTGCCTCGAGGGCCGCTACCCAGTGCGGGACGCATTCAGGCAGGCGCAGCGGGCGTGGGCAGGTGAGGGCTGGGGCGGCGCCGCGGGCGCGGCTGGGTGATTTGGGCGGTGACACTCCCGCCACTCGGGCGCCTGTGTGGCGCCTGCGCGTCGCTTGCTCTGAGCACTGCGTGCAAAGCCAAGCAACCGCTTGCACACAACACGGCCAGTTGTCCCTCGCGCTGCTCACGGACATCATTCGTTGGTCCGACGTGTATGCCTCAACATTCACATGCACACACGCACACACACGCGCTTGTAGACGCACAAACTCACACTCACCAGCATGTGCACACGTGCACACGCATGCTCATCCTGACACACATACACCTTCACATGCACACACATTCTCTCATAAACACACACACACATGCACACACACACACATGACCAGACATGCTGTCCCAGGAGGGCCACGTGCACCTGGTCATCACCCACAAGTCCATCCTGCGCGCGATGCTCTGCACCGCGATGGGCCTGCCGCCGTCCAAGTTCAGGTGCGGACACGCGAATTATGAACGACCTGCTTGCTACCAGCCTGAGGGCGCTTGCATGCACCTGCATCCCTGCGCAGGCTGCCTAATGTGGCCAGTCAAAAGCATAGGGAAGCGCGTCATGCGGTTGCCTAGAGCCCCGCCGCAGGGCAGCGCACGGGGCCCCCTTTCAACTCCTCATCGCCACCAACAACCGCCGCCGTCCCCCCTCGCGTCGCCACCCGTCGCCGTCCTCAAAAGGGCGATCGACATCTCCAACGGCGCGATCTGCATGCTGCGCAGCCACGAGCGCGGCGTCAACCTGAGCGCCCTCAACCTGACCAGCCACCTGCAGCTGGAGGGCGTGAGGTACAGGGTGCCCAAGGTCAGCCGCAACGACGGCCTGCTGGCCAGGGGGTAGCCGGCCCAGCGCGCGTTTGACCCCGCGTGCACTTTACCGCGTCTCGATGATGTCTGAGTTGAAGCAGTGATATCATGTCTGACGAGGCGTGGTCTGTGAGGAAAGTTTCCTGGTCTTCATGGGCGGCTGGGGGCGTGGGTGGGTTTCACAACCTGGGAGCGGCGCGCGGACGAGGTTTTGAGTGACGCGCGTGTATTGTGATTCAGACCCCCGCTAATATCATTCTCAACCTCCCAGCCTGTCGCAGCTTCGTCCCTGTGTATGTTTTTGTGTTGGTTTATGGTCTCGTTTTTTTCACCCTGCACACATGTTTTTTTCCCGGGGACACAAGTTCTTAAGCAATCGTACCGCCCCACACTCCTGACTCCTGGCCGCCAGAAGCTCCCCGATGTCCTGAGCACCCAAAATATTTTCAGCAGCAATGCCGCTGCAGGCCCCAACGCCGCGATGGAGACGAAACGCGAGCATGCGTGTGGGGCATGTGCTTCGTACATGGGACGCGCCCTGCCATCCGATGACCTCAGCTGAAGGGGGCCCCAAGGACATGCAACGGCCCTGAGCGTTTGATCGCATGCCTGCGGTTTACTTCGCACCACGCCAGCAGGCTGTTGGCTGCCGGTTGCTCGAGAGCTCCCTCCTTGCGGCATAGCGCTCGCTTCACGATGGTGCAGCGGGCCCGGCCAAGCAAGGCTGCAAGGTAGATGTATCCATTACACCGCCAACGACAGGAGTAAACAAGGAATCCCGGAGAATCTGACCGCCACACACTTGAGATAGCCAAGGCAGTGGCGCACTCTCCACTGTGCGGCGGACGTCACGGTCAGGCACCCTGGCCACGCCTCCAGTGACGCTGCGCGGATCAAGCTGGAAGCAGGCCAATTGCAAAACATTTTATCGCAGTGTTTGTCAGACGTATCATCTCAGCTGCTGCAAGCTTTCCTGTCCAGTGCACTGGCAAGATCGATAAATCGTCAAAGCACCCACGCACGGTGCTGGAGGAACAACGCGGACACGATTAGAGTAACAGCCACCATAATCCATCAGGAACAGAATGCGTGGCTTGCTGGTGCATCAAGCCCCTGCAATTGGGCGGCGTGTTGAATGCGCCCGCCGCGCTGCTGGCCCACCAGGAGTGTCAGCAGCATCGCCGCTCCCGCAGCGGCGCGGGCAGCGGATCGCCGTCGTACGTGCAGAGAAGCGCAACCGCCTGCAAGGTGAGCCGCTTGATGTTGCCTGCACGCCACAACCCGACGTGGGTGCTTGCAATCCTGTAACCGCGAGCGACGGGGCAACGCATGGCCGGCGCGTCCCCCCAAGGCGCCCCCTCGCCTCTTCGACGCGGCTTCCTGTGCGACGCACCCCTGATTGGCGCTGCCGCTGGCGCCTGGCGTCTGGGCCCTCTGCAGACCAGTTGGATGAGGAGGAGCGGGTCCGAAGGGCGCGAGAGGACGAGCTGCGGGACCCCGCCAACTTCCTTGAGTGAGCGCGGGGCTTCGACCGGGGGGTTTGGGTTTGGGGGCGCATGGGTAGGGCGAGGTTGGGGGGGTAATTGAGTGGGATGGGGCGGTCGCAGGCGCGAGGGTGATCGAGGAGGTGAAAAGCACATGTGGGTGTTTGAGTGTGGGTTTGGTGGGAGGGGAGGGCGCGACACCAGAGAGGGTTGTGGGTAGCAAGAGAGAGAGAGAGAGAGAGAGAGAGAGAGAGAGAGAGTGTGTGTGTGTGTGTGTTGTGGCGAATGTTTGCAATTATGGCTAGCAGCGGCGCAGCTGGCCCCTGCTCAAACCTCGTCGCCTGCACCCGCCCCCGCGGCCTCCTCTGCCC